TACCGTGGTTTGGTTAAGAACGAGTTTCCTACATAGCACAAAATTCATTTTGTGTTCATAGTTTCCCTTGTTTTTTCTTTTTCTGAAAACTTCCTTTCTCAATTTTCACAGATGGAACTACAGGTTTCACGTGAGACTTTGCAGGAACTTGCAGACATATCTCAGGCACAAGTACAAATGTTGGATCAACTTCATGAAAGGTCTGAACTGCAGCTTGACTCATTGCGACAAGTCCTATACAAGCTCCAGGGTGAAACTGACCTTAGTTCTGAATTAGGTAAAGTTGCTTGTTTACCTAAAGGAACATCAACATAGAGCAGACAATCCTTAATTGTAATTTTTTAAATTTCTGCAGTTCGTTTGAGTGAAGAATTGTGCGCATCTCAAGTAAGTGAGATGTCAGCATGGAATCAGATAACAAGTCTTGAGAAATGGAATAGTGAAGTTCTTGAAGCAAATGAGACCCAAGCCAAAGAAATTGAAGAATTGAACAATAAATTGAATGTAGAAAAGCAACAGTTTTTGGAACAGTTCGGGTCAGTAGCAATTTGAAATATTATTTTTCACTATAGTAGTAGTAGCTATGACTAAAATATTTTTTTTTTTTTATTCATTATTATAGGAAAATGCAGGAAGAAATAATTAATTTGCGTGGACATTCAGAAAACACATTACCATTGCCTTTCTTCCATCTCCTTGTAACTGCATACACTCAATGTTCAGCCGAGAACAAAGATTTGTGGCATTGCTTGCAAGACGTCAAAGAAGAGTTGTTTAGCTTGAAGTCTGACTCAGAAAAAGACAGAGTGTCTTGTCAGCAGACGCTTGAATTGCAAAGAGCTATCCAAGCTAGTCACTCAGATGTGGAATGCCAACGTTTAATGGAATTGTGGGCGGCTGAACTGACTGAGCTCAAGATAAACGTAATTGTATTTAATATTTTCAGCATTGAATACAGTAATGGTTTTCCATGACTAATGAAACGATTTTTTTCAGGCTCTTAAAAGCACTCGCCTGTTGGATACATTAGAGTCAAATTTAAAACAAGCTCATGAGAGGTTACAGAATCGTGAAATGCTTCTCTCCTCATTGGAACAGCAAATGCTATCTTTTGGTACAAAGGTCAGAGAAGGGCATAATATTTTTCTACCCTTTCCTTTTTTTCTCTCATCAAACGAACAACACACGGCCTCACTTAATTTAGTCTTGGGAAGCATTTCATTTATCAATTTGTGATCCTATTGTAATATGTTATTTTTTGTCACCTAAAATGTAGAGACAGAGCAGAGACAGACATAAGGAAACAGTGGTCAACCTCTCTGAAAGAAGTAGGTCAACAACAGAGGTAAATATTCAAAATACAACAAAGATTTTGGAACCATCAGAAAAAGAGCTTGAACACAAGGACGATATTCATGTAGATATTTCATCACCTCATAAAGTAACAAATGCTTTGTTGGTTGAACAAGTGACTGATTCACAGGATGCAAAGGAAACCAATGCATGTGTGGGTATCTTAGATCTGTGGTCTTTCAGACTCTTCCTAGACATCAGGCAGCATGCGAATCAAAACTATAACGAGAATTGTCTTTGTAAATTAGAGTGAAGATGACCATCTGAAGGAGCAAATCAAAAAATACCAAGAAGAAATTTTAAAATTAAATGAAATTCTAAAGAGTAAAGAGAATGAATTGGAGTCAGGTAGAAATCTCTTGAGAGACATGCAGCATTCTCTTCAGAATAAAGAAGTTTCTCTCCAAAGAATAGAGCATTCACAACATGTTAATAGTGGGATTTTGGAGAGTTGTGATTCCAAATTCACAAATGAAGATAAGATTGCACTACAGGTTGTCCCAATACTACATTTCATTTGAAATTTATAATTGGTGTTGTTATAACTTTACGAATTTGTATGTGATTGTTAAACAGGCTACAGTTGACAGTCTCCAAAATATCATTGTTCAAAAAGAGGACACAATTTCTCGTTATCAGAAGTTTTTGCAAGACATCCGAGAAGAGGATGGGAGAATCATATCAGCTTTACAGGAGCACTTGCGTGTGCAACAGGCAGATCTCACTGCACAGGAGCAGGCATACGTCAGGTAATCACTGTTCTCCTCTTGAGAACTTTTTTTAATTTTTTTAAAACAATTAAAAAGAGATTACTTTCAATTAACAGGCTGAAAATCTCCATGCGCCAACTTTCATTGGAAGTAAATGGTGAAAATTACTCTAAAGCATCATTGAACCTGCATCTCATGCGCAGCAATGAGCTTGAAGATGAAGTAGCCCTCCTTAAAGCCAAAGTACAGGCACAGTCCTCTGAACTTCAGCAGAAACAACAAGAAGCATCGTACTGGAGATCTGCAGTACAGCAACATCTATCCTGTATTGAGGACTTGAACAACAGGTTGATTTTTTTCTTCATGATGCTATGTATTTCGGTCTCCATTTCGCCAGTATTTTTTCTCTCTATTATTATCTGTAGACTTTCAGATAGTGGAAATGTAGAAAAGAAACCACCATTATCTTCACCAAGCCATGAAAAATTAATGCCGAGTCCCTCAAAAAGCATTATTTTAACAACTTCATTGAACAAAAATTATTTTGAGAAACAGGTACAATTTTATTTGTAGGCTCTCCCTTTAGTACCAGTGGTGATATTTGCTGTAAACTATGTGTGATGTACCAACAATAATGCTGTTTCAGAACTGGAGAAGACCTAGAGCTATGGAAGGATATTCTAAAGTGACAGAGAGCCAGATTCACATGCAAATCAATTCTGAAGTAACTGAATTGAGGAACAAAATTCAACAAATGGAGGAGCAAGAACAGAGACAGAAAAATGAAATTCAACGTTTGCGGGATCAAATTCCTATTTATTCTAGACGGTAATTATTACAGGATATTGTTATCATAATACCAAAGATGAGTTTCACTTCAAATGTCATATGTGAACAGAGTTCATCAATCTCAAGCTGGAGCTATTCTACCTGAACGAGAAACCGAATTACTAAAAAAAATTAAGTCAATGGACCAGCAGATGGAGCAACTTAAGGCAGACCATGAGAAAACCCTGTTGCAACATACTCAACAGGAATCCAAGAAGGTCAAGGTAGCTACTTCTAAATTACCTTTTAAATGGTGTTAAATAGTGAAAAACCTGCATATACTCATCAAAACTTTCTTGAAGTCTGCAGAAAATGTCGCTCGTTGGGACGAAAGAAAGAAACATCAAATTCAAATTGAAAGGCTGAAATCTTCCCTCCAAGAACAAACTGATGAAACTGCCCTGCTTCTTGACAAAGTTGACAGAATGCACAGTACTATTCATCGTCTGGAAAGAGAAAAGATTGCTTTGGAACATCAGTTAAAGAATCTTCTTCATGTGCAGCAAGAAAAGACCATGCTGGAAGAACGTTTGAAGAATTTGGAAAGTGTGTTCTCCTCCAGCTTGTGTTCATATTTTCTCTCTAATGTACCAATATGTCCTAATATGGTTTTACTGACTCAGATAATGAACTGACGCAATGCATGTTTGAAGAGCTGCAAAATGATCGAGACAAATTGCTGAAAGAAGTTCAAACCTTAAGAGTGAAAGGATCTGCATCCAATGTAGAAAATAAACTTTCCTCAACTATGTTGTGTGAGTTAAACTCACAGAAAGATGAAATGTATACCAAAACTAAAGCACAACGGGAAAAAGATATCTCTAGGGATAACGACAGAATGGTTAGTACTGTATGTCCAAATTGTAAATACAGTTTATTTCACTTTCTGTTATACTATTATTTGGTGTATGTATTCGGTTTGCAGAAACATCAATCCAGCAATGCTGCAGAGAGAGATAAAGCTAATTTACTTAAGGCAAATTTGGAATTGGAATGCCAAAATTTAGAGTTAAAATTAGAATTGGAAAAATTACGAGCAGAAGCACCATGCTTGCGTCACAAAGTCACTCATCTTGAAAGGTAGAAGTTTATTTCTTCCTAAGTATTCCTATTTACTGATCTACTCTAATGCATGCATTTGATAAAATGTAATTTGTAAATTGAGGAGCCTGTGTCAATTTGACATCAGACACACGACTATTTAGATAATTGACTTCATTTTGACCTCCATCGTCTATTGAATTGACATCAATGTCTCTCACTGCGTAGTACTGTAGGTATAAACTAATATTTAATATGATTTTCAGACTTTTAAATGCAACTCAAGAGCAGAAAATTGCACAATCTTCAGCACAGCCCTTTTCAGAAACTCTAGGCATGGTAAGAAATGTTAAGAAAATGAAATAAATGGAAATTAAAAAAAAAAGTACGTAATTAAAATGTGTGTCAACAGTCCGCAGTATGATTATTGATAATGGTTTTCTATTTATTGTGTCATTAGCTAGAAACATACTGTTTCCAAAATATTTGATTATTTACTGTTTCAGGAGGAGAAAACAAATTTGCAACAACTGGTTAGGCATCTTTCTGCTCAACTTGAGGCAGCAAATCAACGTGTGCAGAGCCTTGAAAACTTCTCAGGTGAGTTTTATACTTTCTAATTATCACTTCCTATTCTCTTTACTTAAAAAATTTAACATTGCTTCTCATAGACAACGGAAAGCTTGCTGCATTGCAAACAGAATTAAGTCAAAAATCTTTATTGCTTGGAAAAGTAAAAATTTTACTAGAACGAGCTGCTTTTAAGGAAAGACAGTTAACTGAGCAGGTCTGTATATTCTACAAATTTATGTCAAGAGGTACTTCAGATTGATATGTAGCAAGAATGACCTCTAATAAATTACAAAATTTTCAGGTGTGCAGGCTACAGTCAGAAATTGATTTAAAGTAGGTTTTCTACATTAGTCATGTGGCAAGAATTTCTTTGTACCATATCTTTGTGCGTATTTTTATATTCAGTTGAGCAATTTGCCTATTGTGGCTTTTTGGGTCAAATTACAATAATAAAAGAGAACAGATACTGTTTTTCTTGTCTTTAATTTGCACTATCACCTAACAATGAAGTAAAAAAGAACTACTACTGGAACATTGGTGTATGCTTAATTGGTTCGACACATCTAACAAATATTGAAAGACAATAAAACAGCATACATGTATCCATAATCTTAAAATAGGTATCTATTAGAAAATCCAGAATCATAAAATACTTAATAGAAAATTTGTATGTGCCATATCAATTTTGTAGATCAAAGTACCTTCTTAAATTATCTCTATCCTCTTGACCCTAATCTCGGGCGTTCTGGTCTGAGCTTTCAGTCATAAGCTCACATTTGTGTTTCTATTAAGATCATGAAAATCAATCAGAACTTTGTCAGGTTTCCAAAATAATCAAAATAGACCAGATGCCTTCAGTCAGTGTTTCTTGTCTATGAAAATGGTGTTGAAATTTGTCCTCATACTTCAGCCAAATCACATAAGAAGTCTCCAGCACCGGTCAGTATGGTGTTGTAACCTTCCTAATCAATCAGCACTGTAAGTCTTAGGTAAGGTGTTTGCACTGTTTACATTACGTTTTAGGGCAACTCATGCCACACACTACTTTTCACTAATTATTACGGATCAAACAGATCGAACATATCCAAGGAATAACATTTTGAAGGTTGCTCTCCAGGAGAAAACAATGTTTTCAAAGCAAGAGGTACAGGCACTTTGTTTTTATTTATTTTTTCACATTTAATTTAAATGTAACATCTCTGACATTGTCAGGCATTGGCAAGATAAACTGACTTTCTTAAATATTTCCCTGTAATAACAGCAGCTCTAACAGGGTTTGTATTGTAAAAAAATAAATCACTTGTCAAGATAAACACAATATTGCACTACTTTTGCAAGATGTTCCAGGAAAATAAGGGTGAAAAATTTACTGGGTAGTGTGGGATTATTAAGACAATATGCGTAAGGTGCAGAATACCAGTTCAGAATTATGAAATAAATTTTCGCCTTCAGCAAAAAAAATAACATTTTAAAGATTGGAAGTAAACTGGAAGTGTCTAATTTCCAACCTGAAGTAAATTCAGATCATGGCTTTCTCTAGAGAAAACTAGGGCACACTTTGCTGGAGCATCACAGACACTCTATCGAAACTAATCCCACACCACCAAACTGCACCCATTGGAAGCATATTAAGAGACAGTGTGATTAATATTATATACCACTCTTGAAACTGTGCACACTAGAAACCAACAGATCAACTTATAACTGAACCTCGAAATAAGGTAGACATATTATGCTCATATTTAACAAGCGGTAACAATTTGAATTTAAAACATTTAAAATATTTGAAATAGAGTATAATGTAGCCAGAATCACAACTGTAATTTGTGGTCATTCAGTCAAGTCAAAAAATTTCTAACCCACATACCAAGGTGAACCAGTCTCATCACTTAAATTTAAAATACCTTAGTACTAACGCACAGAAGTTACATTGAAAGAAAGTCAGCCTGTCACATGAACACAGCACTTAATAAAACCTACTGTCAGGTACGTTGGATGAGAACAGTGCCAGTTGTTCAGTTACGATGTTGAAACAGACCACAACAACTTGTTTGAACAGTTAAGTATGCTACTTACTAGCAAAATGACATAAATGGAGATTGTAGAAGGGTGTATGATTTGGAAATGACTTCACTTTCAAATTGAACTTGCGCAAAGATGAACAAATTTGAATCTCAGAGCCTGATGTCCCCTATTTGATAGCAGCAGTAAAATTTGGATTTGGTTGCCAGTGGAAACATTCAGTTCTCAATTGAAACAATAACAGAAAGAACAAGCATGCTAAGTTAAAAAATCAGTTTCATTAGCAGGTTGAAACCACATGTTTCTTATCAGAAACATGAAGAAAATCCAGGTGCTCCGCCAGTTTTTAAAACCCATAACAGTTAAAGTTCTTAAACTGGATTGATCAAAGAAAGCTAAAAATGAGGTCAAAAGGAACAGAAGCAGCACACATACAAAAATCAACCTTCAGTTTATAATAAAATATGATCTAAAACACAATAAGCATCTAGAAATATAACTCGTACAGTCATAAATTTTGTCTTAGACATGACCAATGATAAAGAAAATATTTTTCATGGGGTGGGACAATCTGCCATGTTGCATTGTTTCCTATCACCTCTGCAAAAAAAAAAGAAAGTGAAATGCATGGTTGCATGGTTAATAGAACTAAGTCTCTGAAATCCTTCAAAATGATATGCATTAATAGAGATGCAAATGTTCTTAACTGTCCATCAATGCGTTCATTCACATCAAATTGTGTGCGCTTTTTAAAATTGATATCACGAACACTGCCTCAAAAAAGCTGGAGCTTTTAAGCACAGCTTGGGGCCTTCAGAGAATGTATTCAGTCTGGAGATAAAATCAAACATTTGTCAACAAAATGCTATATAAAAGCAAAGTCCAATTTCAAAACCTACACTAGCAAAGAATGATTTATAAACAAAAACAACATAATACATACATAAACTGTAAAAAGAACTAATAAGACAAAGTCAATAAATTCTCTAAAACATTGAACTTTTTAAGTGATAAAATGTTTAAAAGAAGCAACAGTTCACATTATCACAGAATTGCTTCAATATACAGAACACCATATCTTATGGTTCACACAGTTAAGTGAAACAGTGTGCCACAAGAGACTTTGCAAGCAATCCCTGGCAAGAAGGTTAAAATACAAGTAAGTATATGTAAGGTTCCCCCTAGGTTTAACAAACACACCATTTGAAAGTACAAGATTAAAAATACTGCAAATTCAGCTCAAAATAATCAATATTAAAGAAAAACAATTGGCTAGCTGATTTAAAAAACTAACTAATTAACAAACATGAAGAAAATTTCAAATATTTCAGTAGAATGTTTGAGATTTAAAAAATTGCTGTTGTTTCTGAATTACATATTCACAGCCATGTATACATAGAGGTTACTTACAAATATAAGATCAGAAAGCTAAGAAAAAAAAAAGACAACTTGTGAATATTCTAAATGAAACATCAACAAAAAGCACCAATGGCAAATCATACATGCGTATGATATAATCATTAAGTTGAATGGTGCCACATAACAGAAATTGAAATAGTACATTTAAATCCACTCGACAAGAGAAACAAAAACTAATTCATTGAAATCAACAGCTCTTCACAATTCCAAATATAAATTATCTCTGTTGAGATTTACTTAGTGTATGACACTGACAAAGCCAGCAAACTATTTAAGTAACATTCATGGCTTCATTGCTGTAACAATTGTCTTTAATTTTGCAAATTGCACAAAATTGGACGGGTGGTTGAATATTCAGCGCTTATAATACATTTCACAGCTTAATAGAATTTATCAAAATTGCCGTCCACAGAAAATTGAAACCAGGGGTAACCTTCAGTTCCCAAAGACTAAAGTACATTAACTTAAGAGGGGGAAAATGTCAGAAGAGATGAACACTAAAGTTAGATATGAATAAAACATACAGAATTATCTTCAATAATCCCCCTATTTCAATTGCTTGTCTGTACATGGCCCAGACACTTCAATGATATTGCCACCATACGATTGACTTAGCCTTCATTGCTTCATTTGTACTTCAAATGTAGGAGTTATCAGGTGCTTTTCTCAACAAAGCTGTGAACAATGATTCATAAAATTTCTAAGCTTCTTCCTGAACAATAACACTGATGCAAATAAACCTAAACAATAATAGAAAACTTACAAGAAAAAAAAAAGTTTTGTGAACAATCACAAGTCCTCTTCTTAATTAAGTATTACATATCTCACTTGTCTTCAGGCAGAATTCTCCTGATCAAGCTCAAGTCCTATTTCAAGGACAAGATCCAAATCAGGGTCGAAGTCTGCCTGGGCTGAACACTACATATTGTCATTCTCCATACGAAAATGAGCCTCAGTGGCTGGGTCTGTCACCATGTCCATGTTGGGATTTGTAAGCATATCAAGAGCCTCTGCATCCAATCTGCTTAGACTCTCTCGTAAGGCATCACTTGGAAATACATCTTCCAAATCTATAGATCCCACATTTATTGCAGAACCAAGCTCTTTAGCAAGATCATCTGCATCTGAAATTGCATGGTATAGTGTTATTCCCAGTTAAATGAAGCTTGAGGATAGTGAAAAAGTTCATTGGAGAACTTACCTGTCAAAATAATGTCTGGAATACTAGTTGGAGTGTTGGGAGTCTGGGGTTGCTGTGTTCTTGAATCACACATATTGTTATGATGACCATGATTTTGATTCTGTGTATAGTGAAGTTGGGCAGGTGAAGTGCTATAGTAGCCAGGATCAGGAGTGAGCTCATGCACTTGAGTTAGTGGATCGTCCGACTGCAACATAGGAAAGAACATATGTAAAATAAAACCTTTAACTAAAACCAGAACCAAAGGATACAGCCAGCAGGTCAGCGCCAACACTAAAATAAGAGGAAGTATGAAAATTTAAATGATAACATGTCATTCTAGTCATTTCTTTGGACATGGCAAACATAGTTAGACCAAATGAATAAAGGTACAAATTTAAAAAAATATTAAAAATATCAAGATACTTAACTAGATGCACAAACCAGTTAATAGCAACCATTCTTTTGAAAGCATAAGACGTTCAACTACAATTAGATACGAATGATATTGAAGTGAAGCAGAGCACTACCTTATGGTGGTGAGTAACTACTTGGCAGGCTTAAAGCAGGCAATCTTCTAGACAAAAGAAATCCAAGCTCAAAAATGTAATCAGACTGACTTAAGGCATGCTTATGGAAGATATTGAAGACACTGTACAGTAAGATAAGATAGCTTCTCATTCTGAAAAATTACATATTTAACCATTTATCATCAAATGTGAAATTTTGAAAAAAAAATACCTAGGATAAGGACAAATGAAAACATTGTAAATTAAATAAAAGTGAATAACTAAGTCTGAAGTATATTGACTCATTGACCTACAAGAACAGAAAGAACAAAAGCTATTTGTACATAAAAAAAAAATTAAAACATTTCTTTGAATAGAAATATACCAACGGCCAAATATTAGTAATGATCACCTGTAGTTCAGTGTCCCAAGTTGCACTATTCTCCACAAGTGAGTGCACAAGCTGACACAAATCCTGGCAGCCAGAAAATCACACACATTGAACTAACAATGGAATTCTATAGAAGTAGCAGACAATGGACGATAACTACACTGAGGGTGCCAACATCACATGATCCCACATTATACACGAAGTGAGCTGGACAGGGGCAATTTAAGCTAGAAAAAACTATACCTCTACCACTACTTGGCAGTGCTTTTGGCTTACTGCCATTGGACAGTTCTTTGTGGAATTGATTAACTCCATACTGCAGCAAAGCCTCAGCAGGAGGGGAAAATAATTAGATCTAAGGTATTGTAATGCTTCAATGGAATTGAAGGGAAAGGGTCTTCTTTTCTTAGAATACAATATTAACTAGTGGGTAGGAAACAGATTTGTTACAATGACCACATTTCAGTTCAGCGAGCTTGTTTTAAGTGCCTGCATTCTGTATTATCACACGAAAACCAAGACTAAATGTTTCACAGTAGTATGATTGGTTTGGTTTGGTCAACACTTACCAATCCTTGCTGGGAATCCAAAGTGCAAGTTTGAAAAAGAGAGGAGGCATCAAGTTAATCAAAGCAAATGACTCGCAGAAAGATCCGATGACCAACTTCAGGAGCAATCCCGAACTGACATACCCAAAGCCCCATCACCATCAATGAAGGAATATCAAAAGTAATGACAACTTACCATTGAGAATTGCTCCAATCCCTGTTGTAAGGCGGCCTGTGCTTGGGTGTAGAAACTGTTCTCTGGCATGTAACTTGGTGAGCTGTCCACAGAGATTGGGCTTGGGGGGGCGCTGTGAGGACTAATACAACGGTAAGGCTGAAAATAGAAAGATCAATGAGGAAACAATCAAATTAAGTTGAATGAAGTTCAACATGAAGTATGAACTGGAAATAACCTGAGCAAGACTAGGTGAATTCTGAGGACTGGGTCTTGTAATGCATTGAGGATTTCTATATGAACTCAGGGAATTGGTGTCATGGGCCTGTAAGAAGGATAAAAAAAATTGGAGGAACAAATTCATAAGCACAAATTATAGATAGATTTCAGACATAATTGAAGATCAACTTACAGATTGATGAAGATTAGAATTATTGATGTTGATTGGTGGCGATGCATTCATATGAGGTACTAAGTGAGAATCTTCTTGGTGTTGATAGATGTAGTGGTTCTGTGTCTGCTGTCCATCCTGACGAGATTGTGATTGAAGATCCAGACCATTATCTTGGATAACTCCCTAAAAGCAAGAAGAAATAGCAAATTTGTCTAACTGTTAAAAAAAAAGCACCAAAAAGAGAGTTTAAGCTAGATTTTAACTATATCTTGAAAAATATTATGTTTAAACTAAGACAATTCTATAACAGGCTAATTTAAATACATCTATAGCTCTACAAGTACCAAAAATAATCAATGAGATAATATTGCACTTATAATTGATCATGTCATATAAAACTCAAAAACTAAAAGGATGTTCAACAATCACGCAATTATGCTCATTCAGAAGTTGCTTGACAGCACCAGGACCTGCACCAGCAAGGCGAGACAGTTTAAAAGAACTCCTTGGAATGCACATACAGAAGCAACAATACTACCTACCTTACAAGCATGCAGCAACCTAAAGTGCCCTGGCACAGTAAGTGAATTCTGTAACAAATACAAAGTTGCATCAAACACAAAATCTAATACGAGGCTGTTAAGAGTTGGATAGTCTCCAACCCTACACTAAATCTATCAAATAACATACAGAAAAAGCAAAGGAGCAATGAAATCATGACCTTCTAAATTGAGGGGTGGAGAAAAAAGGAACTAATCCACATTATGCTTTAAACAGGAATGACCAATGAAGGACGGAAAGACAAATAGCAAACAGGCTAGGTTTGGCAAATAACCATGGTGGTGCATATCACACTTAGCACACACATACACATACACACGCACACACAAATGCATACTACTTGCTATGAAGATACAAGCTTTTCTATAGACATGATTGTTATTTGGCCACTAGAAACCACAATCAGGATGATACAGCAGTTCTAATCTTGACTCTACAATTTTTTGATTGACAATTCACAAACTAACAATTAGGTTGAATTGAAAGATGCACTGTTATTACGAATCAAACACCCATAGATAGAACGAAGAACTGAAGATGATACATTAGGAAACACATTTCACAATAGAATTTGTAGTTTCTGTTGCCCCAAATGAAATGCATTTTCCAGTTCAAATGAGATTATAACACCTAAAGTGAATACAGCACATCATCCTTTCATATAGGGGAACACCAAAGTGCAGGTTCCTTGGACATGCTTTACAGCATCTACAACTTTACTTACAGGACTGTGAGGTCCATGAGGGCTGAGGGGACTTTGAAGACTGTGAGGACTGTGAGGACTGTGCGGGCTGTGAGGACTGTGTGGACTGTGTGGACTATGGTAGCCAGGCTCAGGACTGGGACCTCGCGATGTGTGGGGAGAATACGTAAACCGGTCACCACCAGACATATGGCCTGCAGGTGAGAGCATGGCCAGTGAAGTATTTCTTGGGCTCTGCGGAAGACAAGGGTCATCATTATAGCCTACAAGTTCACGAAACCTTCTGTTCAGATCCATAAATTTAAATGCAATAGGAAGCAAATCAACTCACGGTTCCATAGGGAGAATTTGAATCATCTTGGTCTAAGGGAGTGTGTAGAGGCGGAGGGAAGTGAAGACTTGTGAGATCAGGAAGAGAGCCCGTGGGTATTGACTGCATCTCCTGTTGTAGTTGATACATGCTGAGGAAGAGAAAAAAAAAGGAGGGTGATTAACAATAATGAACGTAAAGAAAAGCCACCAATTAGTTCTACTTTCCAAAACCACCACTGAATTCAAGGACAGTGAGCCACTTACTTATTTGCAATTGCTCTGGGTTGAGACGTCATTGAGGAGCGGGATCTTCCGTCAGGAGAGGCAGACAAGTGCCTTCGATTCCTCTGCTCCTGTGCGTGCTGATGAGCTTCTGCAGCTGTTGGGCAGAGGGGCACATAAGCAAACAATTCAGTCAAATTTGATCAAAAAATAAAATTAAAAAATTAAAAAAGGTAAAAAAAAAAAAAAAATGTTTTGCAAAGTAAAAACAGATAAAAGGAAAAAGAATCACGTTAAGTAAGGTATTATTAATTTCAGTGGAGTATAATGTATCATCTGCTAAAAAAGGGACGAGTGGTGCCCTCGGCCTCACCTCTGCGCGCGGTGGCCGGGCTGAGGGGCGTGAGCGGCGTCAGGTGGTGGATGTCGCCGGTGATGGAGGAGCTCTGGTGCAGCGCCGAGTCCGAGTGCGTCCGGCGCCAGGTCGAGTCGGACGGCGGCGACAGGTAGGGCCCCATGGTGCCGGTCGTGTTGACGGGCGTGCCGTAGGGCGAGGTGTCGAGGCGCTTGTCGCCGCCGGGGCGCGCGCGCATGGGCCCCACGCCCGCGCTGCGCCCGCGGCCCTGGCCGCCCTGCTGGCCGGGACCCTGGCCGGGACCCTGCTCGTCGGCGGGCGACAGCGCGGGCGACATGGCCGGGCTGGGCGACGGGCTGGGCGCCGGGCTGAGCGACGGACCCGGTGGCTGCCCGGGGATCTGCAACAAGAGGCGTCCGGAGAACCCGGAGTCAACGACACCCGCCCACCATACTAGGAAATACTAGGAAAATAGGAAAGTCCGATTTCCCCCCCCTGAAAAGTTA